GGGTTAGGGTTAAATCCCGTGAAGGGATTTTATTCAAAGGTGAATCAGCTCAGGACGGGAGTACAATAAATTTGTGCAAGTTTCAAGATTGCACTGAACATGTTCAATCCTTTCCCCTAAAAAGATCCGGATACCATTTAAAGCATCTTTTCATTTCTGTCTGCAGTTAAAGGGCAGAACATTCTGAGCGCCGAGGGTGCAAGCCCTTTGCTGCCCTAACTCAAGTTTTTCATTTTCAGATCGTTTGGAGAATCTCCTGCAAGAAGATAGTGAGAAATTGACAAATGTAAACAGACTGGCCAAGCAACTTGTCTGTCACCTACAGGATACACTGTGTGTATATACATGTAATCACATGTATTGTAATTCACTGGACATATCCTTTCCTAGCATGCTAAAGGATTGTCAGGAAAGTGGTTAACATTTTAAAGGAAAAGCATGCACTAGACTGTAACTACATGTAATTTCATGGGTTCTTTAGTCTTAAACTTGAATGTTTTGGGTGTGCTCTTCTGAGTCTGACCTCACAGTCATGTTTTTCCTACAAGCGGCTGCTAAAACTATTTAAAAGAATAATTCACACAAAGTGTTAAAAATCCCACGCAGCTATCAGAACAGCAAGTAAAAACCCTTAACACTCCCAAATCCTCCAATTGTAATACAATTTTACATACACCCTTGGAGGTTAGGGATAATACACTAAGGTATACTACTAAATACTAAATGAAAATATAACCAATGGGACAAATCAATGGGAAAAATGCCCATTGGAGGTTAACTCGAAACCCAACCGGAAGGTGAATTTTACGCAAAATTTGGCCAACCATACGAGTTGTGGACAAAGACCAGAGTGGTCAATAAGCATGATGAGCACAACTCTCAAAGTCTTCCTGGTTGCCGAGTACAGGTACTGGAAGGTGCACTGGTACCTGGTCTATTATCCGATGTTATCTGATGTCCTTGTACCCTACAGGTACTGGAAGGTGCACTGGTACCTGGTCTGATGTTATCTGATGTCCTTGTACCCTACAGGTACTGGAAGGTGCACTGGTACCTGGTCTGATGTTATCTGATGTCCTTGTACCCTACAGGTTCTGGAAGGTGCACTGGTACCTGGTCTGATGTTATCTGATGTCCTTGTACCCTACAGGTACTGGAAGGTGCACTGGTACCTGGTCTATCATCAGATGTTATCTGATGTCCGTGTACCCTATCGGTACTTGTACTTGGTACTGCGCCAAGGGCAGTTGAGGGCCCAACAAGCCCTGCAGAAGTTGACACATCTTGCTTTACATGTACATGTACATGCAGAGTGAACTTTGTACAATCCTTGCTGTATAAACATGGTGCATAAACATGGTGCCTATAGTGTGCATGTAAAGTTCATGCCCGCTGTACATGGTACGTGAATGCATCATGTTGGCATTGAGGCAGTACATATACATGTACACATGTACATGTGTACATGTGTACATGTACACATGTACATGTGTACATGCACATGTACACATGTACATGTGTATATGTACACACCTACAGTACATATTGTAGATGTACTTGTACAATATCTGCATTGTACCAATGATCGTTCGCAACACTGCATACATGCACATGCCAGTCTTGCAGACTGAAGGGTGTGCATCTGTAACCTGGAAAAATGTAACACTATTTTTTGGAGGGAGTTTCTCAGGTACAGTGTAGTTTTGGAGATCTGATCGCGGTGCAGTCTGTACCGAAGGTGCTCATTGCAACATTTTTGTGTGGGATTGTATTTGCCAAGTTTGTTGGGGCAGTTCGCTTTTGAGGTTGAAAATGTGGCATACTGCTGCTGACGTGACCCGTCGTGTAGTTTTTTCCCAAACTGTTTTCCAAATAGGCAGGAATGTAAGTAAGTAGATGAGGAATTTTTGTTCACTACCAGGATACCTGTTCTTGATTCTGTTCCACAAATTACATGTACATCAATGCAGCTTCACAACACAGTGGAAACTTGTGTGTCGTTGTGTTAGAAAGCTCATTGTGCGTAATCCGTAAATAAAGCATGCTTTTTCAAAAAGGAAAAAAGAGGCACATTTCCACTTTTGCATGGAATTGTACATATACAGTAGGCATGGTATTAAACTCACCGTCCCTATAAAAACATTGAAATGTGTCTCACAGTACCACTTTTCTGTTTTCAAACCACATATATTTTCAGCTGCTGACCATCAAAAGGCCAACACTGCATTCTTTTATTTTGGCTCAGAATTTAATATTGTGAAATTACACTTTCCAAGGTTCCCCCCCCACTACAGAGATGCTGTTTCAGAAGCTTTTGTCTACGTGCCATATTATTTCCAATGAGTTCCTGTTTCTACCCTTAACAGTCAGTGACAGTGCGTGACGATCATGGTCTTGTGATCCGTTGGTTGACTACCAAGCCTTATCCTCCGCACCAAAGTTCAAAGTTTCATGCTATTTTTGTACTTTGCTGATACAGTCTGTGCGCTGTTGGACCTGGCAGTTACGGTAGGAGTTTTCCGTGTGAGTTTGTTACATACCTACATCATATGTGTACATGTAAGTGTACAGGTCATTCAGGTGAAACTCACATGTACCAATACACTTACTGTACGTGTGATTCTGTGGCGGATATGTTGTTCCAGCCACTGGTACCGCTACATGTAAGTACGTGTACACCAGGGAGATTTGTGCCAACCAACATTACAGAAAGGCAAAGGGTGTCGTGCCGTGTACATGTACATGTACTGTAGCTCCGTAGAGGAAGCCTCTCTCTCTCAGTGGTCATGTCTGCCCTCGGGTCATGCTTGCTTTTTGGCATAAACACAAATCAGCAAAGGGTAGTGTCGTGTTTCATTGTGTCACACCGTGTCGGATTTTGAGATCTGAGGCGAGCTTCTGTCTACCACAAAACACTACGGGCGTTGTCGAAACGAGTGGATTCAGCTCGGACTTCGGTTTCACTGGTGCCTGTTCTTTTTGAAGCAGCGTTCAAAACTACATTTACGAGCTCCGACTGGAACCAGCGAAACTGAAGTCCAAGCCGAATCCACTCATTTCGAAAATGCCTTATGTATAAACATGTGGTACGAGTACATGTACATGTACGGCTTACGTATCCACGATATTGCCTATGTATAGCCTAATTATGTGAAGGCACGGTTCAGTACGTTTACGTGCACGCACTTACAATTTACTGTATCGTCATTTCCAAAAATACATTTGGAACATAAACGTATGATTCACATTATATGTTGTAAATTTGTTACAGCAGTGAGCTGTTGGAAGTTCTAATCTGGGGTGGCGAGTACAGAGTTCTGTATAAATGTACATGTACAGGCTTTTATACATAAGGATGCGTTGTATATGGATTACCAGGAAGTGAAACCTTGTTTGGTCCACTGGTATGGACGGCCATGTCTGAATGAATGGGCTGCAGCAGGAAATTGTGTTCAAGTCCAAGTTCTGTAGAGTCATGTTTAATTTAAAGCCAAAATGATTCAGACACACCCTTACATGTGGTCTTGTAAACACGGATGTACCGGTCCATGTGCATGCATGCAATGTGGAAATATCGGCATCCAAGGTCGTCCCAGGTCAGCAGGAGACATTTCCGCGACCATCTCCCCCTGCTGGGGTTAAACATTCAGCTCCCAGTCTGGGAGCTAATTCTAGTTTGAAAAAGGCCCATTGATTCCGATATAAAGGGAAAGGAACTAGACAAACTGACAATGTCCTGTTGTCCATCTGACATCCCACACCTCCACGGGCTGGATTCTAATCCGCACCAAGCTGAATTTGTCACATTCCCAGGTTGACAGGAGTATTAAATGAGCACTTTTCAGGCAGCCAACTGAAAGCTCTCATCTTCATCTGTAACCATGGTAACCAGTTGTCCTCTCAGAAGGTCTGGACATTGGCACGGCCATTTAGAAAACAGTGGGTTCAAATCCACCGCCGTACCCCTTGTATAATTTAGACCATTTGTTGGTCTGTACGTGCCTGTCTTACATGTATTTCTCTCCTTCAACCTTTTTTTTTTCTCAGTGATATAGCAAGCAGCCATGGAGTGTGGACCGCACGTGAAAAGCGCCCTCTGGTGTCTGTGGAGTCTTGCTGCGATAACTGTCATGTTACCTTGTGCTGTTATGGGAGATGTTATCGTAGTAAGTAAATTTCCGTGTTGTTAGGGAGGGGATGGAGACGTACGAAAAACCATTAAACGTTCAAGGTTTTCAAGCAATTATTGCTCCATAAACCTGTACTAATTAACCTCCTTATACCGTTATGCAAACATGCATTTCAGTCTAAGCTGTTCTTTAGTCAGAATCACTCAGTGTGATCGAGTGGCATATGATAAGTCCCTGGGAGCAGTAAGGGAAGTTAATTGAATTTTTGACTGTTTTGGACAGCTGGAGCATCAACCCCATCAGTCTAAAATCCTGTGCAGCTGGGGCCACCTCAGGGGTCATCCATTTTTGTTGTCTTTCTCTTCAGGAGCACACAAGTTGTACTTGACCCCCAATCTGACTCCTTCCCCCCTCAAAGCAAGAAAAGGGTGATAGCTAATCAGCCTTTCTCCACCTCGATCAAAGCGTACATGGGCTGTAAACCCCTTCTTTTGCAACTTTGATCTGCTCGTGGAAAAGACGAAGAAAATTTGAAATGAAAATATTTATAAAATCACCGTCAAAAAAACACTGAGATTATTTCTTGTACTTTGTGTTATCTCTCAGACTACTCTCAAAAATGTCAGCTACACATTCTCATCAATGCCTGCAAATTTTGGCGAAAGGCTTCCTATGATGGGGCTTCAGGTGAGAAGAGTTTTTGTCACTTTCTATATTTATATTTTACATCGAATGTTGACAAAAAGGAATCAACTGGATATAGCAATTCATGCAGTTCCTTTCTTGTTGATATTGATACAAAATTTTTACAATGGATAAAAATTGAAATCTGCACAAAACAAAGAGGCCGTGTGATTTATATGTTTTAATCTTTATTTCATTCATGAAAGTATCAGAACATTTCTTGAAATTTTTTTAGAGAGGAACGTGAAATTTAATTTCATTTGCTGTTTTATGAACAACTCCTGTGAATCTTTACAGTTGAAATAATTCAGCCTTTGGTTTATAAATTTGTCGGCACGAGTGGCGACAGTTTTGTAAGCCACTTAGTTACGTTTCATTTTAAACCAAATCTTTTGTTTTCAGGGGAAACTTGTTGTTGCTGTGCCGCTGAATGGTTGCTCCCGTCTTCAACCTCCGCCGATGGTCAACGCATCGGGTGTGATTACCTACAACTACTTTGCCCTGATTAAGCGGGGGGAGTGCAACTTTGACTTAAAGGTAGGGTTTTTCATGTCAAGCTCCATTCTTCGAGGGGGAAAGGCAGGGACAGTGTGCAGGAACAGCTGCACTCCGAAATTTGATAACGCATAGAGAGTTCACTTGAAGCAAAACGGTTGACCAAAATGTTGCGGAATATACTTCATGAGTGTTCCTCAGCCCATTTTCTTTTTCCAGAGCACAGACTTCTTCTAAGCATCATTTGACTCGCTGCGCAGCTCCCCAAAATCTTGTTCGACATGGAAACAGACTTACACCCTCACACTTCGGGTATTGTCCACCGTTTTGAAAACGGACACCCAAGGCTATGTTCCCAGATGTGGTACCCAGTCAAGCCTGGGTGGAGTGCTTGACTTGGGCCAGGTGTGAGCCACAGACGTGCATGCCACTGCTCTTAGCCACGGCCAGCTTGAAACATGGGCTCCCAGGAAATCCAAAACACATTTGTCCTCGTGGGAGCTGTTTGCCCTGTCCCACCCTCCCATGTACGTACAGTGCCTGTAGATGTCATTGTGTTCACCATCAACCCTCCTATGGTTTTACAGCACAAATGTGCACAGATGCCCACAGTCACTGGTGAGCATGTAGTTTCTATATGGAACTCAAACATGCACAGGTTCAGTGTGTATGCAGTTGGTCGCAAGCACAAAATGACACAGGGTCTTTTGTGCAGTCCTCTTCACTGCATTTGGTTTACTGCACAATTATGCACGTGAAACAGTGAAGCACAGTTCTTGGGCAGCACAACAGTGCGATCTGATATTCCTGTGAGGGACAGTTAGTGCAGTGCACAACACAACACAGCTGTGCTTCTTTGAGGTGTTTACCAAATGACCCAAAGAGTGACTTCAGCATAGGAGGGTTAAAGCTACGATTACTAAAAATGTGACATAAATAGCTCATTCCAATTGGCGGGCAGTGTGTCAATGAACTTTACACTATATTATCACCACTTGTCGGACCCATCGTTAGTCCTCTAAACTCGAAACTCTCACAATTCTTAGGGGAGTATCCAACCATGTCGGGCACTTCACAGTGACCCATTTACGGTGCATTCCTGGGTTTAGAGAGGCCAGGGAGAGGATAGTGGCTTTGGGGAGGTTGCAGCGTTATGCCCCTGTGTAAGATTTGAACCCTACCTTAGGCTTACGATCGGGAGCTACCACAAGGCCACACGTTCCACGTGCTTGGATAGTATTTTACAACATCTGAATGTCGAAACCACCCTGGTAGCGTCCTTTCTAGAGTTTGCTGGGTCAAACCAGGCCACCTTTTGTTTTCTTCTTTTTTTTTTTAATTCAAACGGTTTTACAGGTGCGTGTACATATGTTTATTTTGTAGGTTTATAACGCCCAGGAAGTTGGTTATGCCGGTGCTATAGTTTTCAATATCGACCATGATAATGGCGTGTTGGCCATGAATGGGGACGAGTGTAAGTTTTTCCATATACGAATGTCACTGTGGGACTACACAGTCTTCCACCAATTAGTCTGCTGTTCCTCTGCACAACAGCTGTTGGTACTGTTTACCCTAACCTTCCCCAACCACACAGAATTAAACAGTAGAAAAGTGTTTCATTCTGTGGGGATAGGTCTGGTCGGCCCCTAACAGCTGGCTTTTGCATTGGGTTTGGCGTACTTCAGAAAAACAAAGTCCAACAGCCTCTGTGCACAAAGTCCCATATGGGTGTTTAACTGTGTGTGAATGGGGAAGGTTAGGGCCAGTAACCCTCGGGGGTTAAGGTTAATGTGTCTTTGCTGTCATTTAGACAGAAAGTGTACTTGTCACAAATGTCTTTGATCCGTCTTAACATACCATGTTATGGTGAATTGCACGTGGTAACCCATTACACCTGCCAAGAACGATTTCAAAAGATGTGTGATTTATTATTAAATTGCAGCTGAACTTCAAAGATAACTGATTGTAACTTGTGATGGGTCATATTGAAAAGCTTTCTTTCAGAGGAAGTTAATGATGCACATGTCATAGGAAAAAAATCAAAATGTAGACATGGATTTAAATGTGAATGGAAAAAAATGATCGTGAAAATTAAGTTGTAGCGGTTAGTTATGAAATCGCCGAAACAGATGCAGTAAAATTTGTGGTCCGCTAACCTTGCTGTCAAGTTGATATTTCCTTGAAAATTGGATTCCCTGAGTTTGCCAGTCGGCCCAGTAAACTTTACAACTTGTTTTTCCTCTGTGGTACGATCAGATGGACAGGACGTGGACATTCCCTCGGTGTTTGTGGGAGCGTCGTCGGGGGCATCTCTGAAAAAGTACAACTACACAACAGGGTAAGGAATGCGAAAGCATCAAGTCACAAACATGTGTCTTGCATTCCACCTTGACATTGCACTGCGTAGAAGTTAGAGCCAGATTTTCTAGACAGCTACTTTTTACAGATGTAAGAGAAGAGGTCTGAATTAGAAATACTAGATACAGAAAAAAATCATGCCATTCACTATGTATCAGATATTGGGGGAAAAGTGGGGAAAAAAATTGGGATCGGTCCTATGAATGAGAATTATGAAGACCTTTGAAAATATTTCATGTACATGTACCTTTTCCTACAAGCAACCATGTGTATCATAAGGTTTGGTCGTGTGCTTTTTGCAGAGAACTGGTAAATTTTGTTTCCCTATCATGAATGAAATGTTGTAGAGAAGCCTATGTTGTCTCATTTTGTAAATAATTAGTCATTTTCAGTGTTTTTTGTGTTAAAAATTGTGCCTGTCAAGGTTGGCTCACAAGTTGCCCTCGGAAGACTATATGGTGACCAGTGGTCAAGACCTCTCAACACAAATCTTACAAGTAAATGCATTGTCAGAGTAAGAACATTGGCCGCATGCCATGACTGCCCCGGGCAAATGCGGACGCTTCTAGTCTTGGCGTCAAAACCGACTTTCCATTTTCTATTCAATGAAACTGATTTTTTTTTTCAAATCATCTGCATATCTGCAATACTTGAGTTACGAAAAAAATCCGTCCAAAGTTTGTCGTTGAGAAGTTTGCCAGAGCTTCCACTCGCAAGTAGATTTCATGGCGAGATTTTAAAATTTGGCAAGTTTTACCCCCTCCCCCCCACAAAAATCTCTTGCGGCGGATTCCACTCTCTTGAATTGAATTCCTTCGATCTGATTGATTGTTTTCCCCCTCCTTTTTTCTTTCTTTCCGCCCCCAGGAGCAAACTCGTACTGAACTCAGATTTCACATTCTCTTATAACATGTACCTCATCCCCTTCATCAGTATTGTAGGCATTTGTTTCACGCTCATGCTGTGCTTTATGGTAAGTGAGAGCGGGCACACCGCACACTGCGACGGCTGGTTTTTCTGTAAAGGTCCCCAGGGTACGCGTGCCCTTCAATAAAAATGTTCCCTCCGGGAACCATTCACACAGGAGAGACTGTCGATGGTGGCATTGAAACATCTACTGCGAAGAAATCAATATTTGGCATATGGTGTCCGTTTTAAAGAAAATTCGGTCATATTTTGCACGTGCACCCTGGGGGGGTGTCAGCAAACCCAGCCTGTTACTGTCAGCGACGGCGGTGTTACGTTGAGACCAAAGCATGCAAAAGTGGATTTGGTTTTCCTTGTACACCCCTGACTATTGTCTATCCCTCGATTTGTTTTTCTTTTTAAAGTGTTTTGCTAAGTTGGTATTGTTGAATCCTCCCTCATTAACTCTCACGGCTACAACATGCTCGGTTTGTTAGGGCCAAAACGATTTGATCGCTGTACACAGATGGAGGTTTGAGAGGATCTAACACAGGTGTTAGGTAACATCCCCTTGGACCGACTGACAGGTGCATTACATTCACTTTCATGTATGCAAATTACAATTTCCTGTCTTGTGCGATTTGTATATTTTTTCCCCCCTTATTTCCCCTAGAATTCCAGTTAAATGCCTGCTTACAATTCCTGGCAAACATTGCAGGACATTTAGGAATACAGAATACATTCAAGATATTGGGAAAGTTTCCGATGTCACTGACAAGCTTTATGGCCTTCGCTTCAGTGGATTATTTTTGTGTTGCTACCGGAAGAATTGCGTTTTTAATTTGTACTGTTGGTGTATGCATGAATAACAAGCATGCCCACTCAGGTGCGTAGTACATGATTATGATGAAGGGAGTCAGGTTGTTGTGGCTCTTTCCCTGCCTCCTGCCTCTGGCCTCGGGTTCGAATCTCACCTAGGTCAGCATGTGGATTGGAAAGTCTGTGCAGGACGGTTCCCCTGTACTGTTGTCAAAGGGGTCACAGGAATGTTTTACTGTCTTTTTTTTTTTCCTTTTGAGCCTTGAGTAGTCCTTAAGTTTTGTGCATCAATACTTCTTGGTTTGATTGCCCAATTAAGAAGTGGAACCTTACTTAGTTCCAGAAGGCCAGGTTCTAGAGTGAGACGAGCCTTTCTATTGGGGGGGGGACAAAATAATTTTCCGTGCAGGACCAACTCTTTGATTTGTGAAACAGGTTGTATTCTTCTGAAAATCTTCGGGAGTTCTTGGAAGTTGAAAAAGTCGGGAGAAAACTTTGGCAGAGGTGGCCTGGTTCCTGTAAACTTATCCCATGCGTATGCTCTGTATTTGGCAGGATGAAGGGTTGTTACCGTGGACTCGCATGTAAATGATTCGGTTGATGGGAATCAACTGATTTTTTTTAGGAAAGAAACATTTGAGGAGCAAGGGGTACATTGAAATACAAATCCACTGCCGCGGCGTGCTTCGGTGTCCGCGTCGCCACCGTCTCAGCTCGTGTATTTCTCTTTGTTGCCGTCAACCTGAGGTGTTTCTTTATGTGCATTGTTCCCTCCCTCTATGTCTGGCATCGATCGCACAGGGCCACAGTGAAACTTACCCCTACCCTCAGCTTCCCCATCAGCTATTTCCTCTTTCCGTTTATCATTGTCACTTCCACCTGCCTCGTCTTCTTTGGCATTTACATGGTGAGTATCAGGTCCCGATATCTCCCCTCCCCCCTGCCCCGCCCCCTTTCATGTTTTGGGGGGTGCTTGTCTCACTCGAGTGATGCCATTTGTTTCCCGCTGGAGCTGGAAACAGTTAGTGCAGAGCGATAACGCAATATATCTAACAACAAGGTGCCATACGGTACTTGGAGAATACTCGCCCCCTTTCTTGTTGGTGATATTGGATCATTTACACCTGTGTGCTTTGGTGCTAATTGTTGGGACTGATTGGAACTTGACTTTGTCAGTATGCACTCCGTTTGTTGCATGTCAGACGCTGCGGAAATTCACTTCATGGCGTACGCTTGCATGCTTTTTGTTTCTTACTTCCTCACGGAAGATGTATCGTTTTCCTGACCGCGCTGTGCGCTTTGAAACTTTTGTTCAGATAATGGCACGGAAGACACGAAATCAACCCCTTCCACGATCATTGGAAATGATTTGCTACGTTCTCTGTGCGCCATCTATTCTTCAGCTGAATTTCACCCAGAACTCAATGTCTAGCCCGTCCCCAGAAAGAATCAAACAAAAAGTGTCGCTCTTCACTTCACTGATTCCTGTTGGAGGGATCTTTCCGGCTTAGTTTTACTCTTTTGTTTCCTCCCCTCAAACCCCCCCCCAAAAAACACGAAAATGCCGAAATTTGCCTGAACCCAAGAAGCTGCTGGTGGAAAGGTTGCAAGATTTGACACCCCAAAACCCTTTGGACATCCCAGATAATGCATCTGAGTGGGTTTCCTTTTGCAGGTTGCTAAGTACGTGCGGGACAGGAGAAGACTGAAACGGTCCAGGCTGTCCCGCACAAACCTGAAGAAGATTCCGGTGAAGAAGTTTGTCAAAGGTGAGCGCTTGTCGGTCAGTTGCGTTCCATTGCTCAGCTATGGGTGCTGGGGATTTCTTTGTTTTTATATACTTCCCTTGTATGCTGTCCCAAATAAAAAAAACTGCAAGTCTGGTATGTTTTGGAGTTTCTTATTTCTGCCTGAACACCCCCAGTATGACCAAAGCTGTTCATTACAGTAAAATGTTTGCACCTGGCCGTTTTGCTGTAAGAGACTGGCACACCTGTCGAACATTTGAAATAATCCGCAACGAATTTCACAATGCTTGGAACAGTTGGCAAAAAAGTCATGCTTAATGTAGCAGAAAAACTGGCTAATCTTTAGCACTGTTTCATGGCTATGCTTGGCCTGGTTGTGCACATGGAGATTTCCATTGTTCTTTCACTTTGTTAAGCCAATTTTTCCTCCAAGGTAAGCATGCCTTTTGCCATGCAACACACAGAGCCTCTGTTAGTGTGAAATCGTGTGCCTAGCAGTGCTGTGAAATTGGGCCCAGTTCGGATTGCAAGCACATACCGCTGATGGAGATGGGGAACCGGGCGGTCAGCCCAGGTTTTCTGTGGTGTGCCAGTGAGCGGGTACTTTTGCACAGGGGCCGTAGAGAGCAGAAACCTGTCAAGCTTACTCAAGACATCGTCAATGCCCAGTGTACAATGCACATGAACCATCTGTGGCTGATTGTGTGTTCGCATGGTGCTCTCGCAGGTGATGAGTACGAAGTCTGCGCCATCTGCCTGGACGACTACGAGGATGGAGACAAGCTGCGCATCCTCCCCTGCAATCACGGTCAGTCTCCGTGAACTCCACAGTACACTGGTCCATTAAGCCCCCTCCACTGACATGTCGACCAGTCGCAGCCTTGATTGTGCAGGCACACGCCACGCGCGCACTTTCGCTTGCTGCATGCGTCGGGGGAGGGAACACACTTACGATGTAGCGTAGGATGGGAATTTTGCACACATGCCGTCAGCCACGTGTACCGTGGTCGAGTTTTAATGGATCAGTCTTTGTTCCACTGACCCCACGATGGTGGGTTTCAGTGAGCACAACGTTGTTCGACAAATTGATTTCAAAACAATGAGCCAGATTGATATTCCAACAGCCCGTGCCCAAACTGGAGTCCGTCCAAGGTCATCCGTGAACAGCGGTGCGCGTACGCAAGGCCTGCCTTACCAGTGCAGCCATACACACTGACTCACACTCACGCTTTGTTCTCAAATGACCTTTCCTTATTGAACCGGCCTGTAGTCTCTATTCATTTCGGGTTGAAGCTTTGTTCGGAAAGAAGAGGATGATTTCTCATCCCCAAACAGTTTGCTTCTACAAGGTGCTATATGTACACGGCAACTGCTTCTTGACAAGTTCCTTTATGGACAAACACCAATAAGGCTTGTTCATACTTCAGGCAAATGGGAAAACGAAGTGAATTTGACGTCATGAAAACTTAGCAATGAAATTTTGCTCCAGTTAAAATGTATTCAACTTTTACAAATTCGCAAGGTGAATGTCTGATGTCACAAATTCGCATTCGCTTTTGCGCAAAGTATGAACCAGCCTTTACTTGTGACTATCTCTCTAGCCACTATTACTCATGAACACCAACCATGCGGCCATTGTATAACTATGTAACCAGTTTTTTGTTTGGTAAGTTGATTTTTAAGTTGAACGCACCCTCTTTTTGCAGCATTTCACTGCAAGTGTGTGGACCCTTGGCTTACCAACAACCGCCGCACCTGCCCAGTCTGCAAGCGAAAGGTGGTGCCTTCGGGCGAGCAAGACTCGGACGATAGTGACTCTGATGAGGACAGCACAGCCAGCCCCACCGAGCACACTCCCCTGTTGGCCAGCAGTGGCTCCGGCCACCCGGTTGGGGCCAGGGGAAGGGCCGCGGGTGGAGGCTCCGAGAGTTCCTCGGTGGCCTCGTCCCCGGAGTTGAACGGGGCATGGGGCGGGGAGGAGCGGTCGGCCCCGGCCCCAGCCGGGGTCACCTTGGTGGACGCCTCAACTGCCATGACCGAGAACGACAGCGACAGCAACGACGACACCATCGACGGCAACTTGCTGGGGCGGTCCCCCATCAACGACTTGCCACACAGTGTTGACATCGTGACGCCCACTTTACACGCCGTGTCCAGTGACCTACTGGAGACTGACGTCAACCAGGACGTGGTTGACAACGGTGACAACATCCCCACTGTCCTGGTGGTCAGTGAGCATGCTGACCCTCTGGCTGAGAAGGATAGCGCAAATTTTGAGGTTTAAAGTTTGATAAGCAGCTGTCCCAACGTTAATATCTTCTGTAGATCTTAATAACTTGATATCTTTGGAACTTTTTGCAAGGTCACTTCCACGGCACCCATTGTTCGCTCACCATCAAATGTTGTGCTCAATTCAGCATGCGCTTTGAATTCCAACCTGCATGGGTTTTTAACGTTGTTTTGACCAATTTTCAACAATGCCCATTTGAGACTGATGTTGGCGACCAGAAAAATGATTCCAGCATTGACCCCCAGAACTTAACACACAAGATCGCTAACGATTTAGGTGCTTGTTGCACTGTTGTAGCCTCCGTTCAAGCCTGCATTATTAGCAGCTAACACCTGTCCTTGCAGAATACCCCCTAGGGTGTACGTAAAATCATTTTGAAATTGGATGATTGAGGACTGATAGGCTTAATAATCAAAGTTTACAACTTCTTCCAAATGACTTCAAGTAATTTAAGTCACTTTGTATTTCTAGACTTTCCGTATCTATACACATGAGATATTATTTTCCCTGCATGCAGGACTTATTGTCAAACTGGAAGCTTTGATGTCGCATTTGATTGGAGAACATTTGCACTGCCATTTCCACAGTTGGACATGGACAAATCTGAGGAAACACCATTCCTGCGGGGCCATCGCACTCGCGGGCACGTCTGTACTTGAGCGCGCGCGCGTCCACTTTTCGCAAGTCAGGACACCCTATTGGTCAGAGAGGAAGGTAACGCTCGTATACCAGCTGCTTGTGAACAGGATGACCCCGCAGTAATGGCTTCTAGTTCTTTTCGTCAGATTTGTGTATACAGCCAGCAATGAAAAATCTCAAAACATTGAGCCATGTAAAGCTATCCATCATCAGTTGTTGCAACAAATCATGGCATCCACTGTGTCTAGATTCGATCAGAAACCAGAAATATTACCTCATTTGGAGACATGGGTTTGTTGCAACAGAGGTACTCAAAAGTAATCATCCGTCATTTAAATCATGGGTACTGCGATATTCTGCGTAATTTTTTTTGGGGGGGGTTGCATGTTGACAGAAGGATATGTAAAGTGATGGATGTATTTCCTTATTTCAATGATTACTGTAATATTTGTAAATGTACATATATGTTGTAATATTGTAAGCGTTCAGAAGAAAAACCACATTTTGCATTTTTCCTCCTGCCCTTGTTGGAATTTTAAATCACATTGAAGTAACAATAGAGATACCTTGTCTCTTTTCAGAAGGAACTGTACGTTATTCGTGGTTTTGGAGAAATACACTTTTAGCAGTGATAGTGGGTGCAAGATTTCTGTGTAAACAGGTGTGTAGATGTCGGACTGATCTCGGTCAACCCAGCGCACAGAATCTAGTCTTCAAATCTCTTTATATGGTGTGGTGTTTGTTTACGGAGGGATAGCACAAAAGGTCTACTCGTGGTGTGGCCCTTTGGAACACAAGCTCTTACCAGAAAAACAGCTGCCGTGCACAACCCCTATATTTTAGTAGAATTTAATTTACAGATCTGTTTTGGCCCTGAAGTTTCTTTGCTCAAGGGACCCTCTCTGGACTCCTCGGGAAAAAGTGTGCAGCTTGAATCTTGCGCTGACTGTGCCATCTTTCAAAATGTGACAGAGACTGGATGGATTGTATGGAACTGGGACACTTATACGAGTTTGCATGACGCTCCGTGCTCCTTGACGAATAGAACGGGGCAAGTTGAAGTGATGCACAAAATGTATCCGGGGTACCAAGCAAAATCAACCCCTGATGTTGGAACATTCAGAAAATGTAATGAGAAAAAAATACCGGTTGAAATGGTGCAAGGTATTGAATTTTATTGTGTCACTGAATTAATTTTGTTTTATCGGCGTCATTTACTAGTAATGTGTGTTATATTTTGCTATTTGGGGGGGTCTACAAGAGGCTTTGTATTGCATCGTATATTGTTTTTCTTTTTCTTTTTTGTATAATTGTAGTGACTTGTTATTAATGCTGTATATGTATGGCACTGAGTAAATCACGTTTAATGTAGGATGCATAAGATTTTGGCTTGTATTCCTGGTTTCGCTGAGCAGTTTTATTTGCTTAGCGCCTGCTGTGGAATTGGCCCATGGTATTGATTGCATCAAGAAGTAAGATACCTCTTCGTTTGTCACATAGTGGTCAGTCACGTGTACCTGTGCAAGAGTGAACATGGTGAATGGGGCGGGGTTGTGGTTGGTCATGGGAGGGGGGAGTTTTGTCCCTCTGTCTCATCTGGACATTGCTGATTATTCACAAGCTTCTGGATCAATACAAAGTTTTCTTTTGCTGAAGTGGCGTCATGCAGAATGTCAAATGGGCAATTTCATCCATATGTGGAAATTGGTTACACCGATTACCGACATTGCTAGTTGTAATCCAGTAGCGTTGAGAAATTGTCAAGAAATGAAAAGAGAAATAATGGATAGAACCATCACCTCTTATTTCCACTTCAATTTTTTTGAGAAGCCTTTGCGTAGTGAATCATAAGTAACAATGAGTCGGTGATGGCATGACCAGTCTCCACCCTGCACCTGTTGCATGGAATCGCCCAAATCCACGTTAGTCGCTAACATGTAATTTTACTCCTTGAAAATGTTGGATCTCATCATCTGCCATCATTGCATTTTGCCTCACAAATTTTTACCCACGGTACACTTGTAGCGGTGTAAAACACACACTAAGGATGGCAGTCACGATGCCTAAATTGTTGAATACTCTCTATTTTTGCACATGACTGCATTGTTTTAAAAGTCCTCTCTTGACAGTATCGGTTTTCGGGAACTGATGAATTTGTAGGTAACTGTCATATAAATTGATACAATGGGTGCGTTCGATTAGCTTACACGTGTAAGTCAAACTTACACGAGAGCGTTCTTTTAGCCATCACGTGATGTTCGCGCCTGCCGTGGTGTCAGCCACCACTACCCCAGCTGGCGAGCAGGTCTCTGGAGGCTGCTTGAGTGTAATGACGTCACAGATGGACTGTTCGAGTATGGACGTACATGATGGAATGAGGCGGGGACTTGACCTTTTTCCCAGAATGCCTTGGAAAACACACTGCAGCGTTTGATGAGCCACTGGTGTGTTCAGGGAAGCTAATCGAACGCACCCATTTATGTAGTCACTTGTGTAATGCTCCTAGCAAATTATTTGTTACACCAGTATAAGTGGAGTACAAATGTATGTATCAAAATGTTTAAGAACGTATAATGTATATATGTAAAACACTTCCTCACCGATATTATTGATTTATTGAAATCCTATATTGCGGGTTCATTACTACGTTTAAAGGACTTTTAACAGCTGAATAGTGCTCTCTGTAAATGTTTCAAGTGGTCAGAAATCTACACATTCGTTTTTATTTGATCAACAATTCTTTGAATAGGTTATGTCCAGCTTATGAACAGTTCAGAACCAGTTATGTTTTAGAGACCAGAAACTATGTGACACAGATTGAGGTCCTTTTTCAATTTATTCAACTTTGTTGAGGGTTGTAGTTGCTCATTTGGGTTTTTTAATTTGGCTCAATTCTGGTCTTTTTTTCCGCAAGTTTAAATCTCATCCAATTTTATAAATAATTTTGTAATTCCTGTATTTTTTTTAAAGACACTGTAATGTTTTTGCGAAGAGCTAAATTTGCTGCTGATTCATTTTTATATGGGAAAAATGGTAATTGTTACAGTGTGTAATGATGATTTGAATGACGCATGTTCACAGATACCTGAGTTGTCATGAATAAAGACGTGAAATGCCTGATTACATGGAGCTGTAGTTATGTACCTGTTTAATTTCTTGAGAAACTGACATTTGTTAAGTTGTTAAGATGTTGTTAAGATGTTGGGGGTGTGTTTTGCAACTTTTGACAGAATATTTTCTCTGGATGCATTTTGAGCGTAACATGCTGGATTTCTAAGAAAGTCGGCGTCGAAATGTTATAAATCCACCCGCCAGGGGGCGTATTGTATGAAAGTCGTCTGCCCGTGGAAGCTACATGTTGCCAGTCACGTTTTTGCCCGAAACCAGATTTGGTCTTACCACTGTGAATGATGACCGTACGCGGCCGCTACCAGACGCTTATTTACCGCGCGTTGTAATTGTGTGGGCATCGCGTGTGCGGTACGCGCGCATTTTATGGAATATCGCCGGTACGGTCGGAAGTACGATCTGGGCATATCAGAGTAGGCAGTGTAGGCTACGTCAGTGAAACTGAAAGTGTTTGAGGCCGGAAAGGTAGGACTGCTGTTATTTTGTCACCGAAAATTCAAGTCAAAAGGGAGCAGCAGCATGTCTTGGGACGCTTACAAGGATTCCCTGGATGGTTACTACTGCGCAGAAATCCAGAGGCGCGGGGAGAAGGGATCGAGTCAACTCACGCACGTTGGGATTTTCGGTCTAGCGGACGGCAACCCGTGGATGTCAACGAACAAACCGTGGTCGATAACGGTAAGTTAGTGTAGTACATTTACATTTGAGAGAATCTACGCAGTTCCTCCTCCCATTCCAAGAATTTCATGCTGCAACGTCAGGCCTGTTGCATTTGAAGAACTTTTAATTCAATCGTCAATCAATCTCGCTTATTTCTTCACATAACAATACGGTAAACATTGAAAATTATTCACAGATTTACAGCAATAAATGGGGATGGGTGCCTGTGAAAAGGAGAGCTTGTCTAGTACTACTACTAGGCTAGTACTAGTAGTAGTGTGGAAAGAGCATGAATAAAATTAAGACCTTATCTACAACCGTATCCGGGCAAACAAAAATAGCTATCTTCACTCATTGTACCTCCACCAAACCATGTCAGATGTTCTGCGACTCTTATCTTGGCGCTTTCAAGACCGAAATTGACAAAATTTATATTGCTGTTCTGTCCTAACAAGTTCATTTTACAAATTAATTCTTTTAGTTGCAACCAGATCCCTCGCGGCGTCATCTGTACGGGACAGCCAGAATTTTGGCGATTGTGCAGTACCCAGCAGAAGCAGAAGAGAATGAAAAAAAAAAACTGAGGGGCGAACTTACTGTTACTTAGGCCTAGCCGACCCCCAGACCAGTGGGGTCCGGCGTGGAGCAGATGTCCGACCCCGCGGTTGAAAATACATACCAATAGAGGCCTAACACATTGCCATTTCGCCTTTGAAAATGTTTTTGACTCGGATTCATATTATCAATGAAGTGTTGTTACATCAGTATCTACATGTACATTCTTCATGCTCTTTCAACCATGCCAACAACATTCTTGGGATGATCTGGAACTGGCCTACATGTACATCATACAACTTTTGATGTCGGACTTTGTAAATTACTGACAAAACAGGCTCAAGGCCCCTACACTTTTTGAGAATACAATTTTGACGTTTTTCTCCACATTGTGCAATTTTTGTTAAGGACGAAAAACAGAGGAAATTGCATACGTACATGCACATGTAGTGGCCCTTCCCCTGACATGCATGTACATGTACATTGAAACAGTATGACAGAGGGAAAGGTGATTTAAGTACTTTTGTTCCAGACCAGGGCCCAATTTCACGGTGCTTCTTACCACAGAATTCCGCACGTACAATCTCCATTCTGCACTTACGATCTCCGTTATGCACTAACAGTGCTAGCAGAAAAATTCTATGCTAACGTTTTTAAGCACAGAAGCCTTCGTAATGGGATGTGCGCATGCGCACAAGCCAAAATTTCTCACTAACCCGTGAAATACGTTCGCCATAAGGACAGAATTTTCTGCTGCGGTAAGCGCCGATTTTGCGCTTGCTGTAATCTGGAGCATGGGCCCCCTGCGTATGACATTACGTTAGAAGGCATTTCTTTCATCCCCTAGGATAGGCTGGAGTGAACCTTTTTTGTATTCATTGTAATTAAATTGAAATAATAAAAAAAAGCCGCTGACTCCGCCTGAACGCAAGGGGTCTATTGGAAACAGAAACCTGACCACTCGGTTACAGATCAATCTCAAACTTTATTTCCCTGAATCTACTGGGTTCGAACCTTGTTTTATCGCCTTGCCGGTATGGAATGAGTAACCACAATGCATAAAGTTACATGGAATATTTGTTCTTTTTTTTTCAGGCCAGTGCTGGTGATATCAAAAACATTGTCTCCTCATTTACCCAAGCTCAAAATCCACTGGGCGCAACCGGCATCAAGCTAGGATCGATGAAATTCATGTACCTGCGCAGCGACGACACAACGGTTTTTGGCAAGAAGAAGGGCATAGGGTCCATATGCATTTACAAGTCCAAAACAGGTGAGGTCAAAGTTTGCAGGTTTAATAACACAGGGCCACAGCTTCTCTGAAACAAACCATTAACTTGTGGGCCGAGATTTGTGTCTAGAAAGTAGGATTCAGAAAAAGTGCACTTGATACCCATGACCCCGTGAGACTGGCCCGAAAATGTGTGTTTTGTTTTCGTAGCAAAATGTTTCAATATTGTCCCTCCCAATTTTGGCATTTTAGGACTAGCTATTCCATTCTAAGGGCTGATACAGTTTGCCATTGTAGGGAAAACGTAGCGATGTGACTGATGTCCATGTATGGAATTTTTTCCTTCTTTAAGGAACCTCTTTATGTCTGTTCCATATCTCATTGGATGATTGGAAGGTCTGTTGTCGAGTATTGCATCCAGAGTAACCCTGTGTACTGTGTAACATAGATTATTTAAACGATCCTCTTCTAGCGGTTTTCACGAAACGTTCTGAAAACATTTTTTTGCCCATGTTCCATATTGAAGTGTGCAGATTTCATCATTATATGCAAAGATGCATTCTCAACACAGTTGTCCTATCAGTCAAAATCAGTCAAGTGGCATGTGACATGTCTGTGTACTGTACAGGGGAAATGGAAGGAATTTTTTACTGTTTTTGACAGTTACTGCAAACGGAAGGTTAATTAAAGTAACTGGCAGTTTTGTAAACTTTGATAACTGAATTCATTTCCAGTTACACTTACGTATTCTATTACGTTTCCTCAAAATGACAATAGCAAATTATGGCAATCGATGTGGGGCTCCAATCTGATTGCGGCGGCACGGTCAAGTGCACCAATTATTAATGGGACACTGCACCCTACAGATATGCGGTGTACATGCAGTGTCTGTGTGCGGTACCGTAGTCATCCCATGCCTGGCGATGCAAGTCAGTTACGGATTTCCCCCAAAGCCACTGGATCCAGTCAGTCAATCTCAGTGCCATTTAACCCACTTAGGACCTGCCTCGGCTCCTGCCTTGCAGGACTTAACAGTTGCCTGGGCTATATGTACAAGTACGTGTATCTCACCCGTCAAGCCTTACACAATGTACATATACCAGTACATGGAGGCCGAATATGTGCAGTGCAATTGCCCACTGTACATACATGCACTTGTCATGACATTAGCTGAATAAAATGGCTGTTACTCTGCGAGTGTAAGACATTTGCCAGGATGTCAGGACTGAGTGGGGCTCCATACGAAGGCACACACACATGTGTTAAGGCCGGTTTGTACTTGGTACGAAAGTGAAAGCGAATGGGATATTTGTGACGTCAGAAAAAATATTCAGGTTGTAAATTCTCAAATTTTTTTTACACATTTCAGTTTGAGGGAGTTTTGCTGCCAATGTTTTATGATGCCAAATTCACTTCACTTTCACATTTGCCTAAAGTGTAAATCAGCCTTTTTACTTTGATCAAGCTTGCTGGAAAGAAAAAAATAGTTGGCATTGTTGGTGGGGAACTTGAGAGCATCGCACATGTAGGCTTGCCTGGTTTAACCATAGTTTTCTTCATAATCTTGGCATAAGTGTTGCAAGATTGCCTGGACAGGTTTACATGTACGTTGTACGTTTATGTTAGTTTCTTGTGTGTTCACACTCAGCCTGTTCAGTGTTAATCTTGATTTCTTTACCCCCAACGAAGATGCATAAATTCTCTTACAGTAGATTGTTCCGAGTAAATTTACGATTGGGTTTGCCTTGTCTCGCTTTTTTCATTGTATTTGACTGCCAGCTCTCCTGATCGTCATCGCCAGTGAGAGCGCACAGGCGGGCGATCTGAACAACGCCACCATCAAGCTAGGCGATTATCTCACGGGGAATGGCATGTGATGAGTCTCGTGCCACCGTGTACTCCAGAGGGCGCCCTTCACTTCACATAGTCAGCCACTCGTCTGTTCTTCCCTTGTTGTCACAAGTCTTAATATTATCTCACCAAGTTGTTTTTGCCATAATAGTATTACCTAACTCGTCTCCAGCTGCTGCCAAAAAGTTTTAATTTTCACAGAAATGTGTTTGACAGTGAATGACATTTAAATGTAGAAAGTATGATTTGATTTCATTTTTGAAATGCAGTTTATATTTATGTATGATTTTTATTAACTGTTTGTGCTACGCACACCAAGAAAGTGCAGTTTTCACTTACCGTGGAGTCTTTAATGGTTTACCTCTTGGTATTCAGAATATTCGTGTTTTTAATGTTGTTGCATTTTGTGGACTTGCAAGGCACAAGAGTGTGCATTTTCACTGGTATGTGAAACCAGTCCAGAGAAAATTCGGATTGAAAAAAAAAAAGTCTCAAGTCATTTTGGATTTCACGTTTGTTGGCTGAGGCAAATAGAAAAGAAAGAGCAAAGACATTTTGTTGCAATCGAGTTGTGCAGTAAGATCTGTTCCTGAAAAAAGTCACTTCAGTATGCAGCTGCCCCACTTGTAATTGTTGTCTCAGTTTTTTCCATGACCAGGGGAAATAATTGGCTCCATATCAGATTGTCAGTCGTGAAGTACGGGGCCCAGATGTGACCATGTGTACATTACATCGAGTCAGATGACGGCACTGGAGCGTGCCCATGTGTCTTTCACGTCAGTGAAGGAGCATGAAACAAGGAGTTGCACCATTACCATCATGGCCGAAGCCCTGGAGCCAAATTGGTATTGGTATTGGTAGAGTTATCACACTGCCGTTACTCACCAGCCCTGTGCCATTATCTGCTGAGTTTAGCACAGCTCGTTTAATTAAATCGGGTCTTGATCTCTGGCAGATGGGTTTTGTGTCTTCCTTTAAATGGCAGGAAAGAAATGAAGGTCAAAGGAAAAAACAATTTCACAAATTGAACCCCTGTGTTGAGGAATTTCACATGAAGTGCCACCGCACTGGGGTTTACAACAGAAAGCCTCGCTCGGACCCCGTGGTTGATAGACTTGTACACGAGCATGCACGGGACGTGTACGTGTAGATGATGTCTAGCCTAAACAAAACCTCCGCAAAAAATGAAGGCATGTTTCATATTTGGTCGTGGAAAAATTTATGGAATTTCATTTGTGGACAGAAACACGTGAGAACGTCTGGGTAAAGTACATGTACTGTTAAATTTGAACATGTTGTTACTAAAAAGCAACAACAGCTCCAGGCAGAGATTTCCGATTGAGAAGCAAACAGACTTCTGAATGCATAAACTAACCCAGAAAAAAAAAATTATCAACAAATAAAAATGGTCGATTTTGTTGTAAATTTGTATATCTTTCTTGTTTTGCAATTGCTTTTGCTAATTTATTTTAAACCAACCATTCTGGGTTAGTTGTGAACAAATTGCATACATATCGTAAATTCTAATTGAAGGATTTTTTTCCCATTGAAGTACGTACATGTACACGCACGTACATGAAGAGGCCCATGCATGCACATCAGTGTGTTTTCATTTGATGGGGAACTTTGTTTCTCATGTCCAGCCCTTTGTGTCATCAAATTCCACCATCGCGTCTCCATGTGCATTATGCCTACATTTGTTTGAACTTGAATTGCAGATCTGTAATATATTTGCGACCAACAAGAATAACACATGGTGTGTGCGGAATGTGCATGCAGGCTGCACTACATGTGCATGTGCATGCACACACGCAGGCATGTACATGTACATGTGGATGTACATGTACATTGCATGTGCGTGTGCAAATATGTAGGGCTTTTCATACAGGAATTGCTTGGTATTTTGAATATCAAGTATCACTTCTTTTTTGTCCTTTGCTTGTCATGTCTGATGTTAACTTTCATCTGAATCATTTTGGCTGTAAAATGCAACGGGTTATTATGGTGGAAACTGGAGAGCGTCAAATTGTAATTTCTTGAAACTGACATTCATACAAAAAGGGTAAATCAGATTTCTAGACTGATCTTCACCCAGTGTGCGGAATATTATACGATATTCACTCGGAATGTGTCTCCATTTTTTTTTCCCAGGATGATTCCCTATTGATAAAGAGGCACGGGCTTTCAAAAAGCAATTACATTTTGTTCGGTTAACCTTCCAGTATTTCATAAGGTGGCCGCATTATTTCTGTGACCAGTGGATAGAATTAAGCATTACCGTTTGTAACTCTTTGCTCACATTTGCAAAAGCGACTCTTTATAATTATGGAAGTAGAGTATCCCCACGAAGAGTGTGTATCATTTTATTTCAGTATTTCAAGAATGTCTACAGGATTACTTTTTCTTGCTTTGCTATGTAAAAATCCAAAGCTGAACACAGAAGGGGAGATTTAATACTACAAATAAAAGGCTAGCTTTCTAAAATGTAGTATGACTGGATTTTTGCAGTAACCTATGGCAATTGTATAAACATCTGAATGACTAGTAACATGTAAATTTTGGGATTATGCTATGCAAAGATGTTGCTCTTGTTGTCTGGCTGAAAAAAAAATGCATCTGAAATCTTTTAAAAGTTGATGTTGTATTCAAATTTTGAAACGAGAATAGTTGTTCGGTTAGCCAGGCTTAATTGTTTGTTTACATGGTTCAGTGTTAATGCTAACAAATGTTTTTGTAAAAAACAAGTAGTTATTTGACCAAAATGTAGCTTCACCCTCATTGAACTTTAACCTTGCGCAATACATGTATTTGGGCTATTGTTGCTGCCTGTATTACTATATGATTTTAAAGAAAGATTTTTATTGGTTTGACAAATGTTTTATTGCCTAGTGACATCAATCGAAATGTTGACATTGCCTTTCGTGTTGATATTGCCCAAATGAAATTTAACTTCTGTTGGACGTGAATTGTTTGAACGTACACATTTATGCATTTTGCTGCCTCTAAGTATTGAAATTTTGTTTTTGTTCTTCGCATTTGTAATTGCATAGGGAAATTTTACCTGTAAACTTAACTTTTCAAGTGCAATCAGGGGAAACCGGGTTCAGTTAGGAACAAATCCCATTGGAGGGGAGACTTGCATTGCCATATTTAGCCGCTGACAAGGAGATCATAAGGTTCAATGTGTACTTGTACACTGTATTGAGGGTTTTCTTACAGATTAGACTACAAGTATCTATGGTCCATTCATGTACATGTAGCGTTACATGTAGATGGGGTCACATTTTACGAACTTATATTTAAAGAGTTAGCTCGTAGTCAGTGTCTCGTCCCTGAGCAGTACGTGTGCAGTCTTCCTGGTACTGTCTGCAAATCACATTGCCTGTACCTCGTACCGTACGTACCTGCATCTTGCAAAAGCTGAAGGTCTGCATCAGTGATAATCACATTGGCTTTACACTGGATACCGACAGCAATCACACTGTGCGTTGCGTGCGCAATAATCAGGATGTGTCAAAACAGGTCATCCAACACTTCCATACATCACCGTTGAAGGCATTCTCGGAATATCTCAGATGACTTTGTCAAAAAAGCCGGGGACTGGACAGATCGGGCGGGCATACTAGATCAATGTTTTATTACTTGCGGTCCTTGCCATGTTTAGTATTGATTATTTGGTGCCATGCATGATGTGAAATATGATGAAATGATGTACTGAATGAATAAAATGAGAATCGGAAATATTGCTAGAAATTCTTACATTTTGCGGTTTTGTGTTCATTTTCTTGAGTGCAGGGGATACATCCACGTGTATCACATACTTTTTTTTGGTCGCGTAAAGAAACCTGGACAAAAGACTCGAAATGTGAAAGTATCATTCATTTGAATCGGCCCCAATTAAGGGTGATTTCTTGCATTTCGGGTCTCGTGGCCAATTTAACCACTACCGAGTTCCCTTTTCTCTGAATGAATCATTTTTGTCGTTTCTCAGTCTTTCTATCAAAATGGTGTTCATTGTGATGGTAGTGCCTTCATTAACCACCATCAATTGTCAGATTGCTCCACACCGTATAAATACTTGCGGTTTAATAATGGGCCACAGTTGGCACGCAGGGCACCAGTCTGCCGTACGTGCCATTAATCTACAATAACAACATTTGCCACAGTCTGAACTGAATGTCACGGCCTCTGCAGTATTGTTGCAGAGTTACAGTCAATGAACAGATGAAAGTATTAAAAAAATCCACAGTTCTTTCATCATGTTTAGTCTACACATGATATGTCCAAAAAAAAGTCCTTTGATTTGCTCATCCTTCAAGTTTAATGGCATTCTTGAAATATTTGGGACCTCTTCCTGTGGAAGGCTAAGTCAACAAATCCATGGCTACCCAGAGTATGTTTGAGCGTTTGAATGAACAAAATTGCAATTAACCAATGATAAGCTGTGTGAAACTCTGACATTCCAGCAGGTACGGTGTCTCGCATACCGCAGAACATTTTTGTGGTCAGGGGTTTCGTGGGACTTGACAAATTCATACATAATGGATTTTTTCCTTTTTTTTTTTTGGTATATTTGCAATGGTACGAAAGAATTGTAAATTAAGAATGAAATAGATGAATTTCTTTCTTGGGGAAACTAAGACTTTTACAGGAGATCTTCAGACTAACAGCAGCATTTTCTGACGTTGACTAGATGTTGAATCAACGTATAACCTGAATGACAGTCAAGGCCATTTGGTAACTAAGCTGTGAAATGCTGTAAAGGCCAGCATTGTAAGACATCAAAAGCCCACAAACGAGGCCTTTCGCACATCTCTCACCAACAAAAACTCCACTACCAGACTGCACTCCATCCTCATATCCTCAATGGCAAAAATTTCAAACCTGCAGTAATTCAACCGAGGCCCGTACTTCTTAAAAGCTTCAAAGTCAAAATAAAAAGAACCCCTCTAACACTGACATTTCATGGGAACCCAGGCATGTCTTTAGGCCATGTAGCTCGAAGATGGCTCATTTTCTTTCCAGCCGCTTACAATTTTCACCTCTATGTACATACACGTGTATACGTGTACATTTGAATCCGTTTACATTCCCTGTTGAAACTGTGGTACTGTTTGGTATGGCAGTGCTATGAGTAATGGGTGACAGATGTGTTTGAAATTGGGCCAGGGATAATTTGATGGGGCTCAGGTTACTTGTTCGCCTAGGCATGAAACTGCCCCACTACACTTGGCAGGCTTAAGAATGAAAATACCAATTGATTGAATGCCATCTGACAAGTCATAGCACTCGGATAGGGTGGCATTTATGAGTTAAAGGTTTGCCAACTATTTTTTTCAGTATTAAACTTGTCCTACCTCCATTCTTGAAAAAGGTTTCCCGAAGTTTTTATTTGAAAGTTGCACAGTGGCTAGTATATGACTATCATGCAATGCCATTGTTATCATGTTGACTTTTAAACTGCTTGTTCAATGTTGTTCTATGTCAGCAGTTAAGAGATCAGTTTGTTGGCATGCTATGCAGTATGGAATTTTGTAGTCCATTCCACTCCACTGAAGGTAAATATCTGTCATGCTTGCTACTTGTTTAGCTTTCAAGTCAAGGGGTTTTCTGGCGAGTGAGGAGGGGAGTAAGCCAGCGAATAAGTGGGGAAGCAAGCAAT